GGGGGTGATTTCTCGCTTTCTGTCTCTGTCTCTCTCTGTCTGACGAGCGCACGTGCCCTATAGCGAAAACCTCTCTAAAAAAACAAAACAAAACAAAACAAAACCTGTCTCTGCCTGTGTGTGTGTGTGCACACCATGCACTCTACCTGTACACTTTCATTAAAAAGATGAACTTCAGTGATACCTTGTTTTATGTTGCATTACAGTTTACTCAGTATTTTAATGTGAAGTGAGTAAATATGCTACTATTTTCTAAGTGAAAATACATATGTATGTTTATTTGGTAGACTAAGATTTATACTGGTCTTTCAGTTAATTCCAACTCATTATCTTTCTATTGCTTGTTAATCAGATATTTTTAAGCCCATGAATAAATTATTTAAAAATTACAATACATGACTAACTAGAGAAATAGGAAAAGTTGTATTAATTTTTTTTGACAGATTTTTGCTATAGGGCTGTTTACTTGCTGGAGAGACAGACAGAAAGTGAGAAATAACCCCCTAGGGAGGATGGCCATGCTGCCCTTCCGTCCATTCTCAGGATTTTGGGTGCACACGCCCAGTGTGAATTTCAAACCACCAGGTCTGGGACTCAAACTGCAGTCAGCTACATGGGAGCCCAGTGCCTTAACCACTATACCTCTTGCTGGCCCTGAAAAATTTTATTTTACCTTTTTTTTTTTTTTTTTTTTTAAGAAAGGGAAAGTGAGAAAGCAAGCTACCAGGTCTGGGACTCTGGGACTCAAAACAGAGGTCATTCATGTGGGAGACCAGCACCTTAACTACCACACCACCTGCTGCCCTAAAAAGTTTGATTTCTAAAGATTGTTCTAAGACAAAGAAAGACTTATTACTGTAAACAATAGCTAAATACATTTTACCCTTTAGATTTTGGAGATGATTTTATTAATGCAATAAAGGGGAAGTTAAAAAAATGAAATCTGCCTAGACTGGAGTTAAGATTTGTATTTGTTTTTTTTTTTTTTAGAGGTTTTTGCTATAGGGCACGTGCACTCGCCAGACAGACAGAGACAGAGAGACAGAAAGCGAGAAATCACCCCCCGGGGGATGGTCACGCCACAGTCCCTTCTCCATTCTCCTCTCGGGATCTTGGGCATGCACGCATACGCGCCCGGCATGAGTTTTAAGCCACCGGGTCTGGGACGCGAACCGCACTCGACTACGTGGGAGTCCAGTGACATAGCCATTACACTAACTGCTGGTTCCCCATGTATTCGTTGATTTAATAAAAGAAGTATATTAATGGACTAACAGATGGCATAATGATTAACATTGCTAGACTCCCACATAGTCGACCACAGTTCCAGTCCTGGACTTGGTGGCTTAAAACTCATGCGCAGCGCATGTGGGTGTGTGCCCGAAGTCCTGAGAGGAGAATGTAGAAGGGATTGTTTCATGGCCATCCCCCCTGGGGTAGGGTAGGGGGATTTCTCACTTTCTGTTTCTGTCTCTCTGGTGAGCACATGTGCCGTAGCAAAACTCTCTTAAAAAATAAAATGTGTATCAAGTATCTCTGGCAAAATAAGTTTGAACATACTTTTGCACTCTCGTTTTCAACATTGCAAATTTCATAGTTCTGTGATCGCCCGTTATGTGCCAGAAACTGAGGTTTGGTGCTTATAATAAATTGTCAGAAGGCAATATAACACAGTTATGTTCTGCCACTGGGTTATTACTTAATCTTATTCAGCCTTAGTTTCCTCATTAATAAAAATTGGTGATAAGAATATTTGTACCATTACACAGATACATACTGAACCTTAAATGAGATAATACATGAAAATACTTAGTGCTGGATGCAGAAAGCTTTTTGTTTTGTTTTGCTTGAGGGAAAGTTCTTTCATTCCCCTAGTCCAGTATTCAGTCCGTCATTAAGATCCACCCCCAATAAAGTTTTTCAAGTTTATCCACTTGTCTTCCTTTGCAACTGCCTTCAATCAAGACCAGATCACCCTCAATCCTCACCTGGATTGCTAAAATAGCTTGCTTGCTTCTTTTTTATTTTTAGTGGTTTAATTTATTGCCAGAGGGCATCTACACTCCCCAGAGAGAAAGTATTCACTGGTGGGGCATCCTTACACCACAATCCTTTTTTCTTTACCCCTCTACACCTTCAGGATTTAGGCACAAGTGCATACGTGCCCCCTGGTCAGCTGGCTTTCTGTGCAGAGGACATGGGGCCAGCCATCAAAGAGTTTTCAGCTGGTGTCCATGTGTGTCTTGTTCTCTAATAATTCATTCATACATCAGGTAATTTTTTTTTTGAGTTTGTTTTTTGGTATAAGGCACGTGCACTTGCCAGAAAGATAGAGGACAGAGAGAAAGCAAGAAATCACCCCTTGGGGGGATGACTGCAGTCCCTTCTCCGTTCTCCTCTCGGGATCTTGGGCACACATGCACATGGGCCCGGCATGAGTTTAAGCCACTGGGTCTGGGACTCAAACCACGGTCGACTACATGAGAGTCCAGTGACATATCCATTACGTCAACTGCCGGTCCTCAGGTAATTTTTTTAAAGGCAAATGAGATAATTCTCTATTTAAAATCCTTAAGTTCCCCTTTAAAATAAAGGCCCACATCCTCACCATGGCTTAGAAGAAGACTCTGTAGGGCCTATTATGAATATTCGTCCATTGTTTTGTACTGTTCTTTCTTCCATTCGTGCAGTCATGCAGTTCTCGGCCTTTCAGCATTTCAGTTCCAGATTTGTTTGTCAGTTTCAGGTCTTACAGTTGTACACTAAAGCCATTACTGTGTAGTATGTCATTGTATAAACAAACAGATGGGCTCATAGTAACTGTTTTTAGTATGTATCTATTGATATAGAGAGGATTTTTTATTTTTGTTTTCATTTTAAAGTCTTGGCTATTAGGGAGCCAGTCAAAATTGGTGATACCAAGGATGATTCTTTTTTTTTTTTTTGAGAGATTTTCACTGTAGGGCGCGTGCGCTCGCCAGACAGACAGAGAGAGACATAGAGACAGAAAGCGAGAAATCACCCCCCAGGGGGGATGGTCACGCCGCAATCCCATCTCCTCCATTCTCCTCTCGGGATCTTGGGCACGCACGCAAACGCGCCCGGCGTGAGTTTTAAGCCACCGGGTCCGGGACACGAACCGCGGTCGACTACGTGGGAGTCCAGCGACATAGCCATTACGCTAACTGCTGGTTCCCAAGGATGATTCTTGAATAGGGAGATAGAGGGGAGATTGTTTACAAGTGGCATTTTAAAAATGTCTTTAGAAACTTAAGTCATTTGAGAGAGTAGAGGAAGGTTTGGGATAGTACTAGGGTACAGTGCTAGAATCAAGCAGAAACCTGAATGTTTGGACATTCTAAACTAAAGAGTTCAAAGCTTATCCTGAAAGCTGTGCCTTTTCAACTTTCAAAAGTTGTCAACAAATTTTATGTTTAGCTTTATTTTTAGCTTGCTGCTAGGGTATGTATGCTCCCTCTCTACAACAAGGGAGAAAAAGTGAAAAAGCACTCCTTGGGGATGGCCACACTAATCCCTTTTAAAATTTCCTCTTTAGTTTTGGTCATTCATGTACACGTGCCTCATGTATTTTTCAAGCTACCTGGTTCAGTATGTGTAGTTGGCCATGCTACCTTAACCACCATGCCACTGGCTGGCCCAGAAATTTGTTCTTTTTTTTTCTCCCTTCAGTATTTTGGGCACACATGCACATGTGCCTGGTGAGTTTGCAAACCACCAGTCCAGGACTCGAACCACATGGGAATCTAGTGCCTTAATCACTACACCATCTGCTGGCCCCATGACTGGTCCTGAAATTTGTTTTAGGAAGATCTGACATGGTTGTGGGAAATAGAGGTGTGAATACTACATGTAGGAAGCAGGAAAACCATGAACCCTTATTACTAGTTCGCCAGTCAAGGAGAGTAGTGATGAGTGCCTAAATTAAGGATGTAGGTTGGAATAAATTTACAAGAAATTCACAGATCGAAACAAACGTACTCATCTTACTAGCTTGCCTTTTTCTTTTATGTTGCCTCTTCACATCCTTCTGTATCATGATTAGCAGTTAAGAATTGCCCCTTTTCTGGCCAGCTACAGTACTGTGCTAGTAGGCACTATTGCTTTGCAGGCTGAGCCACCGGAAGACCCAGGTTCTGTATTCAGCCCACTGTAATAGCAGGGAATGGTGGGGCTGCAGTCCAGTTTACTTGGGAGGCTGAGGCAGGAGGATTGGGATATAACAAGATGCTGGGTTTTATTTTTTTAAGAATGATGTTTTCCTGAAGTCTTCCCTTTTCTAGCTTTAATTGCTTTATTTTTGTACTTTAGAGCCAATAGAAAATCTTGTTTTATTCATCTAATAATGTTGGTACTAGCAGTAGCAGGCATGATTTGAGAATATGACACCATAAATGAAACACCTAGCTTGCATTGTCCAATTTAATTCCTACATCAAGTGTATGGTATAGGTGGATGTAAATGAGGAAACTGAGGCACATACTCACTAGCCAGTGATAGAGCTAAGATTGGTATCTAATTCACTTTGGTTGTAATTTTTTTTTAATTAACAGAGTACATGCACACTGGCCAGAGAGACAGAAGAGGGGAGGGAAGAAACATCCCCCAGTGGGTGTGGTCACACCACAGTCCCTTTACTTCTCAATCCTGTCAGTATTTTGGGTATGCAGGGATATGTGTGACCGGCATGTTTTTCAAGCCACTGGGGCCTGGGTTTGAAATGTGGTTGGCTCTGGGATCTGACCTTAAAGCTCATTCTCAATTAGTAAAACATAGTTAACTGTTTTCAGTGTATACATGTTCTTGTGGTTGAAAACTATTTTTTATTCTTCTGTGCCTTACAGTGTTGAGTGCATAGATAGGCAAAACTTACAGATAATCCTTTCTTTCTTAGTCTGTTAAAAAAAACTCTAGACAGAGTGGTGTTTTGGATGGCAGCATGGTGTGGTTTGTAAATAAATAAATGTATGTCTCCTTTTCAGATTTGGATGGTGCTCTCCTCTCTGGGCCAGATGGAGATAGGAATGTGAATGCAAACCTACTGGCTGAAGCCAGCTCAAGTCAAGATGGAGGTGATGCTGGTAGGTACACCAAGATTTTAGAATGACAGCTTTGTGTTTCTATTTCCTGAATCCTGCAGCTTCTTTCCTCTAGGTTAGCGGAGCGTAGTATAGGTAAATAACATCTAATCTATGATATCTGTGTTTGTGATGACTTTGCAGACGTGGTAAATACAAAGTGATAGATGTTTCTGGCATCGTTCAGAAACATTGTTCATTATTTAGTTTTAGGAACTCTTACTTGTAAGGATAATTAAGTTAACAGAGCTTACGGCTTCCTGCTGGTATGTATATGGAATAGGAAATGGCAATTACCACTATGGTTACCTAATGTGTTTTAATCAGCTTAGATGCAAAGTAATAGTGTGGTTGTTGATGGCTACAGAAAATGTTGATTAGTTCTAAGTAGTGGTATTTCTATCATCTGTTCTTCAGAGAATGCTTGATGCATATACAGAACCATGAGTATATTATAAATAAAAGAGCAGTGTCCTTACTAAAGAATGTCATTCCAAAAGAAGAATGATGTAATTGGAAAAATACCACATTTTGCAGCCTCAACAGGAAACAATTCAAGATTGTCAGTGGATGTTCAACCACTGTTAACGGGCTTGTCCCACTATCATGGGAGAAATGTTGTTGAGAAATAGTACATTCACATGGTCTTAAAAGTATTGGCCTACAGATTCTGTCTAGTTAGAAAGCAGAAAAAGTATCCTTAAACTAAAGAGATGTGAAAAATATTACCCTAATCAAATGATTAAACTCAGTATTATTAGTGATAGAACTGAAATTAAGTGCCAACTGATGTTTGATGCACTAGGAAGCATAGAACATTGCCTTTAGTGTTCCTGCCAAAATGTTTAACCTAAATATAATCATGAAGGAAAGAAACAAAAATGTGTATCAGTCCAGCTATATGATATGTGATCTGAACTCTAAAATGTTAAATGTCATAAAATGAAGAGGGAACCCACTACATTTTTTTTTTTTGGAGAGGTTTTTTCACTATAGGGCGCGTGCGCTCGCCAGACAGAGAGAGAGAGACATAGAGACAGAAAGTGAGAAATCACGCCCCCCCCCAGGGGGGATGGTCACGCCGCAATCCCTTCTCCTCCATTCTCCTCTCAGGATCTTGGGCACACACACACGCATGCAGCGTGAGTTTTAAGCCACCGGGCCCGGGACATGAGCCGCGGTCGATTACGTGGGAGTCCAGGGACATAGCCATTACGCTAACTGCTGGTTCCCGAACCCACTACATTTTAATGAGAGTACAGGGAGATGTATTTAAAGGCAGCATATACCTTGGTAAGATCACAGGTCTAAAACATGATTTAAGGGTTCAGTTTGGGAATAGTTGGAAATTTCAGTAGGTAGTAAGTATTAATGTTAATTTAAATTTTCTTGGGTACACTGTAGGAGAATGTTCTAGAAGATACATTCAAATAGTGCCTATATGCATATATACAAAGAGAAGGAACATGTGGTAAAACAAACAGTAAAGATAGATGGGGGGGCATGAGGTGGTGCAGCAGTGTGCTATTCAGGGGGTGCTGGGTCCATAAGCAAGATTGGGGCACACCTCCAAGGTCCTGTGACTAGCTGAGAATGCTGGAGAAGGGGAGGATCACAGCAAGAGACTCCTTTAGGCTGTCATTCTCCCACTGATTCCCTCCATAAAAGAAATAACCTTTTTTGTGTGTGTGAGGGGAGAGGTTTTTGCTGTAGGGTGCATGCGCTCGCCAGAAAGACAGAGACAGAAAGTGAGAAATCAACCCCCAGGAAGGATGGCCACACCACAATCCCTTCTCCATTTTCCTCTCAGCAACTTGGGCACGCACGCACATGCGCCCAGCGTGAATTTAAGCCCCTGGGTCCGGAACTCGAACCGTGGTTGGCTACGTGAGAGTCTAGCAACATAACCATTATGCCAGCTGCTGGCCCCAAAAGAAATAAACTTTAAAAAGTTAAAAGGGATGTGGGCATTCACTGATTGTTTTAACTTCTTTCTGTATCTTTTTGAAATTTTTTTCAAAAATGTTGGGGCGGGGAACAGCTGGGGCATATCATACAAAAGCAGTTAGGGGCTTCTGAATACACTTTGTATGTACCAAAATTAAGCCACAGTTATGCAGAAACTGCCTTGAGGTGTTTTCTCCTGACAGTTGAAAATAGGCTGGTGTGGTACAGCTATTAAGCTCTGTGCTTAGGGAACCAGATGACTGACTACAGTTTGAATCTCTACCCCAGTGGCTTTAATGCACACACACACACAGAGAGAGAGAGAGAGAGGAAAAAAAAACAATTGGGGAATCGAATGTTGTTTTTTGTTGTTGTTTTTTTTTGTTTGTTTGTTTTTGTTTTTTTGAGAGGTTTTCTCTATAGGGCACATGTGCTCGCCAGACAGACAGAAAGAGACATAGAGACAAAAAGCGAGAAATCACCCCCCAGGAGGGATGGTCACACCACAATCCCTCCTCCATTCTCTCAGGATCCGGGGCACGCACGTACACGCGCCCGGCGTGAGTTTTAAGCTACCGGGTCCGGGACGCGAACCGCGGTTGACTATGTGGGAGTCCAGCGACATAGCCATTACGCTAACTGCTGGTTCCCTCGAATGTTTTATTTATTGGAAATAGCAGAGTAAGACAGGGAGGTATGGTCATTGCTCTCCTTGAGTTTATCTCTGTTTTGTACTAATTTAGATAAGAAATATGAATTTAAACTCAAATTTTATTTGGAAATGTGAAACTGCAAATTGATAGATTTAGCTCCATAGGTCACCACTTCATCTCTGTCCCTGTCTCATGTACATAGATAAGTTGTGTCACACTGGGATTCTCAACATTTTTTTCAAAATAGTGATATTGGGACGGCAGGAAAGTCATGACGTATTTTTCTGTTTTTCTATGCAAAAATGCATCATGATTGCCCTGATGATCCAATATATTATACTTACATTGTATATAATTAAGGGTCCATAGGGCTTTTTTTAAAACAAATTTTGTCAGAGGCCACATGCACTCACAAGAGAGACAGAGCGAGGAGAGAAAGGAGAGCACCCAGCATGAGGAATGGTCACAATACCTTCCCTTCTACATTTCTCCCTCATTTCAGGATTTTGGGCATACACACATAAATGCTTGGCAGGTATTTCAAACCACTGGGTCCCGGACTCAACTGCATTCGACCATTTAGGGTGTGTGTGTGTGTGTGTGTTTGTTGTTTTTAAGAGAGTTTTTTTGTTTGTTTTTTGTTTTGTTTTGGTTTTGCTATAGGGGTGTGTACGCTCACCAGTGAGACAGAAAGTAAATCACTCCTTGTGGGGGATGGCCGCATCACAATCACTTCTCCATTCTCTTCTTGGGATTTTGGGCATGCACATAGACACACACCCAGCGTGAGTTTTAAGCCGCTGGGTCCTAGAGCTGGGGTCAGCTACATGGGAGTTCAGTGGCATAACCATTACACCATCTGCTGGTTCCAGGACAGACAGACAGAGACATAGAGACAGAAAGCGAGAAATCACCCCTCAGAGGGGATGGTCACGCCGCAACCCCTTCTCCTCCGTTCTCCTCTTGGGATCTTGGGCACGCATGCACACGCACCCAGCGTGAGTTTTAAGCCACCGGGTCTGGGACGTGAACCACGGTCGACTACATGGGAGTCCAGCGACATAGCCATTACGCTAACAGCTGCTTCCCACACAAGCACTTTTTGACAGGGCCTGGTCCTGCTGCAGTTCTTCCTCCAGTTCTCCACCTGTCCAGATATTTGGTGCATTGGCACTTGACTGGAATGTTATTCAAGCAGCAAAGGCTGAGACTTGAACTCTGGTCAGCCAGCCCTGGGTCATTCATGGATAAATGTATGCCTGGCACACTCAGGGAGAACTGCATTCTTTTTTTTTTTGGAGAGGTTTTTGCTATAGGGCATATGCGCTCGCCAGACAGAGAGAGAGAGAGAAAGTGAGAAATCACCCCCCAGGGGGGATAGCCACACCACAGTCCCTTCTCCTCCATTCTCCTCTCTGGATCCTGGGCACTCACGCACACATGCCCAGCGTGAGTTTAAGCCACCGGGTCCAGGACTCGAACCGCGGTCGACTATGTGGGAGTCCAGCGATATAGCCATTATGCTAACTGCTGGTCCTGAGAACTGCATTCTTGTACTAGAACTAGGAACTTGCCCACGTAGGGTTGCTTTGCAGAGCATCACACTTACCTGCTGTGCCATCATGTGGCCCCTGTACCCTTCGTTTTTATGAAGGGCAGTGTGTCGCATTAATAGATAACAGCAAAATGAATTCTTACAAAATGTTATGGTCATCATTCTTTTATTCAAACCATGGTGTCAGTGGGAGAGAAATGTATTACTGCTACGTGAGTGGGCTGTGCATGTATCATGGAAACAGTGTTCTACTCACGTGAAAGTGCTGTGACGAGCCAGCTCACCATGGAGCATGCAGGTTGGTGTGGGTGAAGTGAAGTGAGCAAGTTGAGTAGTTGGATGAGATGGGTAGTCTTTGTAGCCTTTTGAGCAGTGCTAACAGACTCTGGCATTTTTTTTTTTTTTTTTTAAGACTCTCTGCTGCTAACAGGCTGTAGGAAGGCAGTAGCGGGAGCAGGGAGACAGGTTGTGTGTACTGAAAACAGTCCAGAGGCTGGAGTCGATGCTGGCTAGATCAGGCTAGCATCAGCTATGGGGCTCTTGGGATACAGTCTGTTGCCAAAAGATTTTGGATCCAAGGAAGCATAAACATATTCTAGATAGAATTCTAGAGAGAATTTAAATCCAGAGATTATTCCTGCCTTGATAATCTGAAGATTCTCAGACACATCTTTTTAAATTTATGATAGATTGTGCATGCACATGGGAAGGAAAGATGTGGGGGAGTGGGCACCCTCCACAGGGCTCAGGCATTCCGATCTGCCCTTCCTCTGGATCTCCAGCCCAGCAAGATCTTGGGCATGGTGAATGTGCGTGGTGTGTTCTCTGTCAGTCCCTCTGAACTTTAAGTGTGAAGTTACTAAGACAGAGAAGTTTCAGTGAATCAAAAGAGTGCATCTGAAAAAAAGAATCTAGCAATAGAATAACTTTATGTACAAATGTATGTAATCACCTATGTTCATATTTTTTAATCCTTAATCTACTTGTCTATACAGATTAATCTTTAAGAAGATTATGATTGTCTTGAGTACAAAGGAGAGTAACATATTTGACAGCTGGGCATCAAGGTGATAAAAAAAATAATCTCCAGTGATAGAATAGTTAGGAATAGCATCTATTTAGAGTTCTGTTTTAGGTATGTTTGAAACCCAACTTTTTTTTTTTTTTTTTTTTTTTTTAATTTATGATAGGGTGTGTGTGCTCACTAGGAAGGGAAGGAGAGGGACAAAGTGAGAAAGCCTCCTTCAGGGGTATGAACACACCATGGTCCCTTCTCTACTCTCAGCATTTTGGACATGCATGCACACGCACCTGGCATGTTTTTCGATCTGGTATTCACATCACAGTTGGCCATGTGGGATCCAGCTGCCTTAACCAACATGCCACCTGGCTGGCCTTGAAACCCAGCATTTAAAAGGGGTGTTTCCTATGACCACAGTGAAATATTTGTGAAGGTTTCTGTCTTTTACTGAATCTAGGGTTCAGTCACATTCTAAATTTTTGTTTAATTACTATAATGAAGTATGGAGGTATCTCAATTTTAGGCTAAAGTGTAGAATTTTTATTTAGCTACTGTATATTAAGATGTATCATAATGCTCAATAGGATATAAATATATTTTCTGTTTTCTGACTAATAAAAGATAGCTCTTTGTTGCCGCCATTACTTTAAAATCACTTTTCAATTGTATTAGGTTCTTCACATGATTTCAAGTATGGATTGATACCTGGCCCTTCCAGTGATTTCAAGTATGGATTGATACCAGGTACTTCAAATGATTTCAAGTATGGATTGGTACCAGGTGCTTCAAATGATTTCAAGTATGGATTATTGCCGGAATCTTGGCCAAAACAAGAAACTTGGGAAAATGGCAAGTATTAGTTAACTAAATGAGTGCAGAATTCTTACATAATTTGTCGTTATAGAGTGAACAGGCTTGCCAGAAAGAGATAGAAAGTGTGAAATCACTCCCCAGGGATTATGGCCATACCACAGTCTCCCTCTCTTCCATTCTCTGAGGATTTTGGGATGCCTGTATACATACACACCCAGCATGTGTCTCAGGCCTCTGGGTCTGGGATTTGAACTACGCATTCAGCTATGTCAGATCCAGCCACCTTAACCACCATGCCACTGGGTGACTCCTGCTTATATTTTAACAATTACAAGCTTCCACATTCTGGACTTTAAAAAAAACAGTAGTAATAGTGCTGTATCATTCGCTATTCACAGGGATAGAGATATTATGAAAGTGATTTTTCTGTCCAGTGTATAATTGCTCTGTTTTTCTTTTTTATTCTCAAAGGGGAGTCATCTCTAATCATGAACAAGTTAAAATGCCCTCACTGTAGTTATGTAGCCAAATACAGACGAACACTAAAAAGGCACTTGCTCATACATACGGGAGTGAGATCATTTAGCTGTGATATTTGTGGAAAGCTGTTTACTCGAAGAGAACATGTAAAAAGACATTCCCTGGTAAGTAACTTTAAATGTAACTGATTATTAATAAACTCATGTTATTGAAGTTTAAGGCACTGTAACAATAACTTGAAAATTTACGGAAAGTTGGTTCTTAAATTGTTTTAAACAAAGAATATGAACTGATAACTGAACTTCATAGAGAAAAAAACAGTGTCGAGTGCAGTATTTAAAAGTGTGGTTTAATTTGAGTGGTTCAGATGCATTCTTTTATCGATACTATCTTTACATTGGATTTTTCCCCCCTTCAATCAGGTGCATAAAAAGGATAAAAAATACAAATGTATGGTGTGTAAGAAGATCTTCATGTTAGCAGCCAGTGTTGGAATAAGACATGGATCTCGACGCTATGGTGTTTGTGTAGAGTGTGCAGATAAATCACAACCAGGAGGGCAAGAAGGTGTAGATCAGGGACAGGATACAGAATTCCCTCGAGATGAAGAATTTGAGGAGAACGAAGTAGGAGAAGCTGATGAAGATCTGGTTGATGATGGAGAAGATCAGAATGATCCGACTCGATGGGATGAATCAGGAGATGTTTGTATGCCTCTAGATGACTAACTGACCTACTATACTCCTCAAGGATGCTGCATTTGGACATAATATGGATCGACAATTTGGATTGTTGAACTTTGAAGGCTTGCAAAATATGGTACATGCTGGATGGTAGTTATGTTGCTGTGAAAACTGTAGGGTCAAAGCCTTATAGCAAAAAAATTTCTTTTTTATATTTGCACAGGACTGTACAGCAAACAACCATGTGGTTGGATTACATGGAGTCCCCACATATTCAGTCAGTTATCAAATTAAAATATTTTTTATTTATGGGATATACAGTAACTATTTGGGTCCTATGAAAATATTGTACCTGTCCTTACAGACCTTACATTCATGTGCCACTTTAACATGAATGAAGAAAATCCATTTTGGGAATTACAGTGTGACAGTTGACCCAATCACTCTGTCCATCAAACCACTCAGGCTAGTTTGTACTAGTAGAGTTTTGTTTCTATTTTTATTTTTATTAATTTTATTTTTTTTTAATACAGATTTTCAGTGAGGGGCTTTTTCAACCCCAGTGGTTCTGTTTTCTTGTATTTTCCATTTTAATTTGCTTCATAACTTAAACCAAGTCTCTTCTAGTCGTAGGTATTATTTCTCAATTTTGTGCTGTTGGGCATGTTAATAAGAACTGGAGAGGTAATTTATTGGAATGAACTAACTGACTTCCTCCATTCCCCTTTCCTTTTCGACATGAATTTTACTACTTCACAAATGAAGAATGATGTTGCAAAGTTATTGTGGCAAAGTTGACAAATACCACTAAAATGATTATGATTTAGAAGTAACTTTCCTGCTGCTCTAATCTGATAAATGGTTGCTTTATGATGTTTTCTGACATGGTATTCGGTTTTGGGTATCTGTTACTTTGGCATTATTCTTGTTTGCCTTTTTTTATTTTTGCCAGTGTACTATACCTCAGTCCTATTTGAAAGACAGAAGTCTGATTGAAAGAAAAGTCAAAAAACAATAAGTAAAATGATTTGTTTTATAATTTATCCTCCATGTCCAGTTTGGTTAGCTTGTTATGCAATATAAGTGAAATATCAGGTTTTTATTCCTGTGCCCTTTATATCATTAAAATTAACACAAAACCTGCATTCTCTTTTGTTTCATACTTGCTGGGATATTAAGTGTTCTAAAATTATGACTGATAATTTATTTTTTCATTCCTTAAAGTCACTACACTTTGATAAAGTCTTTCACCATGATTCAACAATGTGCAAAAACCTTACAAATAAAATATTGTGAGTCTTTATTATTCTGTTAACTGAATTTTTCAGAGTACAAAGAGTGATACATTAAGTTAAAAATGTCTGATTTATTTAACCTGGTGACAGATGAGCTAGCTGATCACAAAACTCAGCCACATTTTATTAGAATATGCATGACATTTATCAGGAGCATATTGTATATTATGTAAGATTGAGGGACATCATATTTTCCGCTTTCTTTTAAATAAAAATTGAGTATATTTTCCTATTTTATATCAGGTAACTAAATTATGCCAGTTGTGTGGAAGAAATTGCAAAGATGCTTTGACAGATATAATCCTTTCGGTGCTCCATCTGATCAAAGTTGAAAAGTTGAAAAAATGTTTTTTTGAGAGACAAGCTTTATCATTGTCTCTGATTTCAGTAGAATAATGGTTTAATGTTAGACAATGATGTTTCTGCTTGGATAAATCAAAGATAAATTACAGTTACACGGTTAGATGCACCTTTTGTCATCTGAACTGTATTTGTAGTTTCAACCTAACTGTAAACCTGCCAGATGAATAGTTTTATTTTAAATTTTGTTTAAAGAGTACATCTTATTCTCAGTGTTCTAGACAAATGAGTAAAATGTAATTTTGGTGAAGTCCAAAGTAGAAACTAGTTGGGCAAAGATACTATGAATGAAAAAGTATTTTAAACGTAAATGTTCTGCTTTGTGAATATGTAAGTATAGTATAAAGATTTCTTTCATCCCATTTATCCCCTTCCTTTAAAATAAACCATAGTTTACAATCGGTAGATCTGTCTATATATAAATATATATTAAAGAGCAAAGATATATATCTAAAAAAAATCACCTAAATCTGCTTTATTAGATTACAGTTCACTTATTGCATAGAAACTGGACTTGGCTTTACATTCTTCATGTACTTTTACTTTTCCTCAAGATATGAACTTATTCTCTTGAAACTGAGTTTTCTTTTACTACTTAAAATCATTTATGTATATCTGGTAAATTATGACCAAATTTTTGTTAGATTGCGTACAGTAAATTGAAATACACACTTGGTACACTACAGGAATGTTGTGCTTTTGTTTTGGTTTTAGATGGAAAAAAGGTTTGATGTTGATGGCTTGTTACTGTTAATTTAAGATATTCTATAATTGTCCATTACCTTTTATGTTGTGTTGTGACAGATTTGGCTATATTTTTAGTCAATTTAAATATGATACTTTAAAAGTTTGTTTTTAGGTAATCCAAAGGAAAAATGTTTATACTCTTGAATATATTAGCCTCAGCCTATATAAAAATTTCTGTGACGTAAACATTTTACCAGAAACAGAATCAACAGATTTTTCTACTTGCTGACTGCCTAACTTATTTTGTTCATGATCTTGAGGGGCTGCCTTTTCCCTTCCAGATCTTTTTTAAAAATAGTTTTAGTACTAAGGTATACTACTGGACGTTTCTATTTTTTTAAGTATATTCTTTTTCTGATTTATAGTACAATTTCAGGAAGTTGACAAATACTAAGAATTTATGATTGGTCGCAGAGAGGTAACAATGGAATACTCATGGTTTTGTCTGTCCAACTTTGGCAGACCTGTGGGTCTCATGTTTGGTGAAGTTCTCTCTTGTAATTTATATTTTAAATGAAAAAACGTTGAGCTTTTGATTTTAATGAAGGGGAAGAGTATAAACTTTCGTATTCACTCTGTAGTAACAAACCCTCTCATAAATCAAGATTATGTATTTCTTAGGATTCTCAGAGACAGTTACTTCCTTATTGTCACCTCATTCTTCTTGTAATAAGATGTTTTGCTAAATATTAGCACCCTAGCAGCAAAAAGCTTAAAAGAAGAACCAAAAGAAGGGGAAACTGAACAGTAACAAGAAGCTTTGAAAATTGGGGGAAAAACAAGCTGGTTTAGGTAGAACCATCCTGATGGAGAAGAATATAAAGGACTGAAGATGACCAGAGTAGTATAATACGGGGGGGAAGTGCTGACAACTGGCTTTTAAAAATCTTAAATTCTATAACTTTCAATGAACTTTGTATTTTTAAGATTTTCTGAATATAGCATGAAGGGTTTATATTCATTTTTCTGAAAAACTATTCCAAAAGCCACCTTCTTTTTTTTGCAGTGCCCACACTTGCCATTATGCTGTATACATTATTTTATCTAATTCCGTATAAGCTAGGTGCTATTGTCTCCATTTTATAGATGAGGAAAGGCTTAGAAAAATTCAGAAACTTTCCCAATTTAACTCAGCTATGGTAGAGTTGGGATTTGACCAGGTCTGATTCTGAAGCCCATGCTCTTTCTAGGAAGACCTATTGCTGCCTCATTAAACAACTCTTTTGTAGAATTTCAGCTCTTTAAAGGAGTCTGTCTATGGAGATTTATATTTTCCCTATAAAACAGCTGTGTTAGGGATGAATGTCCTTTCTCTCCCCAGTAAATATCCTTACTCCTTTTTCCTCCTAATAAAGCAATCATTTTGTCACTTTGACTATAATAAGACACACGACCTCAGTGTAGCACATGCTGTTAACCGGCTGTGGCATTTTCATTTTTAAATGGATGGTTTTTATCTGAAGAACTAGATTTGAATCCCAGTTTTTGTGCCGTTCAGTCACCCGGATCCTTAAACTTAACTATGGTACATAATTCATAAACTTAGAACTAACAGGTGTTTTCTTAGTCACTTTAGGATTTAAAATGGAAAGGTTTTTTTTGTTTGTTTGTTTGTTTTCCTGCTGTATCCCTGCTTTCAAGTGAGGTTGAACAAAATTCTAGGGAGTTTAAAATGTGTTAGGGATAAGCACACTTCAAAAGATGTTTTCTAGCCCTGAAGTTTATGGCATTGGGTACTTAAATTTGGAGTACACTAGCTATTGAGAACAAAATTTGGGTTGAGAAAGAGGGATTGTTGAGGTCATTATGAAATGGGAGAATCAGCATTTTAAACACTGTAAACATAAAAAGAACACTTTCTTCTGCCTGCTGTTTGTAAAAGCTCTTGGGAAGATCTTTTACGAAGACCAATTTTTTTTTTAATGTAATTTACCTACCTAATTAATATAAGTGTCCTAAGACATGTATGTAAACTTCCAAAATTGTTTTGTCTGTGTATTTAGGAAATACACAAGGATCTTTATCAAACCTAAAAATATAAACTTGTGAGCACTAAACTGTATCTGGCTTTGTGGATTTTATTGACTCGACATTTAATTCAGATATCTTGGAAAGTATACTAATTGAGGCTAATTGGGGTAGGGGAAATAGCTTTGTAAGTGCTGACTTATGTATGATTCAGATGGCTGTGTACTTAAGGTTTACAAGACTGAATTGAATATTATTAGGGTTTATTTGTATGTTTATAGAAATTGCATAAATGGTTCAGACTACCTCCTAATACTCTTTGGAGAGCTGCTGTAATTAGTAGATGACAGTGACTTATCAGTGTGTCTTTCATCTTGCATTTAAGGCTCTCCACAGGTATTAGAAAACATTTTAAAAAGTCATCTCCTATAATGTATATTTGTGTGTGATCTTGGGGAAGTGGGTTGAAAAGCAAATATGAGCTACAGCTTTATCCCATATTTCCTGTATATTAGTGTGCTGATAGAGTACAAGTGAACTTGTGATAGTACAGATTCCAAGTCTTCAGGAATGTATAGTAATACAGAAAAACTACTAGATTTTAGGTTTTTTACATTAGGAATAGAACAGAGGAGATGACAGAATGGCCAGACACCGAGTTCTCACCAAGAAATGGGAATTTTAATTTAGTTTGGAGAAGGGCAACGTGTAGGGGAGAAACCCACAAGCATAATTTCTAGTGTCTTTAAACATGTAAAAGAGCCCTGTGTGCAGAATTAAGGTGTGTTCTGTGTGGGACCAAAAAGTAATGAGTGGGCTCACTTGTCTCAAGATTTAAAAAAAGGTTTTAATTTTCCAAAGGTGAAACAAGTTTTTGAAATAAGGGTTTTGAAAAAACCTTGAATTTCTCACCTTTGGAGATGTTCTAGATAAAGCAAGAGATGATGGGACCTTCATTTTGGCTAAGGTAGTATTAACCAAACATTTCCACTTCGGAGTTTTGTTGTTTTTGTTTTGTTGTTAAGTGTCGAGACCATCAGAGTTTACTTTTTACTTTGCTGAGTAAGCAAAATAATAAAATAATGTACAAAATTACAATCATAATTCCCAAAGGATATTTTGACACTAAAAAATACATAATTTAGGGAAAATCTAGAATCAAGAACTTAGGAATCAGGTTTAGCTTTATTTTTTAAAAAATTGCGGGAACCAGCAGTTAGCATAATGGCTATGTCGCTGGATTCCCACGTAGTTGACCGCGGTTCACGTCCCGGACCTGGTGGCTTAGAACTCATGCCGGGCGCGTGTGTGTGCGTGCCCAAGATCCCGAGAGGAGAATGGAGGAGAAGGGATTGCGGCGTGACCATCCCCCCCCGGGGGGTGATTTCTCTCTTTCTGTGTCTGTCTGGCGAGCGCACGCGCCCTATAGCAAAAACCTCTCAAAAAAAAAAATTGCTACGTGAGCTTTTATTTTTTTGAGTACAAAGCATTCAAGGGAGCTGGCATAGGAAATTGAGTTATTGGATCTATGGTTAGACAAAAAAATTAAAATAACTTATTTGATGGCATAATTGTCTTTGTGAAGTTTGAACCAAAGGAAATAAAATGAACTGTAGGAAAATCTATTCAGGTAATTAAAGTGAATAAAAAATAGGCTCCATGAACCTGCATGGTGCCTTACCTGAGAAAGGAACTGCCTTCTTATTGTCAGCCACAGTTTTTTCCACACCAAACCAATCCAGTCTTAAGTTTGGCAATAAAATATTAATCTTCCAAGTGCAGGTAGGTATGTGTTAGTGTCCTAGTGAAAGTTATAAAACAATATCATGTCTTGATACATAACCCAAAAGTTGGTGAGAGAATGATACGTAAAACAATTTCAGGGTAATTGTTGAATTACTTAGGTTGGAAGAGACCCTAAGACTTGAATACCCGAAGAGATTGTTACAGTACTGAAGTCAGTTTTAGGACCCAGGACTCCTAAACTTCTTTTTCAATATTTTCCCTGTATCAGACTCTATAGCATGTGAGAAAGCACCCCCTGGGGGAAAGGTGACTTCTCGATTTCTGTCTCTCTCGTCTCTCTGGCGAGCACATGCATCCTATAGCAAAAATCTCTCCATACAAGAAGAAAGTACTTTCACCTTTAAAATGGCATTAAAAGCCTTTCAGAAAGATATTGTTCACCCATTAATTTGGGCATGGGTCTTAAGATTTTTGTATTAACTGACAAACGTGAAAACATTGATACTAGCTAGTTTGATCTTTTTCTGGGATTGGAATATATTATCTAGGCGTTTCCTATTTCTCTCACTATATTAGACAAGTTGGTAGGACTTAGAAAAGCTTTTCCCAGGAGACTCTACCTACTCAGGGAAACTAACACCTGAACGGAATCTACCTACTATTTTAGGGGCGTAGATATTGAAGGGCCTTAGACCAAAATTTTCCTATCCAAAAAGAAAGAAGCAGTTCTATTAAATTACAGACACAGTGTTCATTACATATACATGAATGTGTGTGTGAAGAGAAAATTTGGGATGGGGGTCGATAAAAAATGGTCTTTTCTGAAAGGATAAAATCATGAACCGTGTTTTGTTTTCTTTCCCTCTGTAAGTTATTTCCGATCAAAATTATAGCCTAAGTATCTTACTCTCAATTTTGGTGTGCTTTTTTTTCAAAGCATTATTATACCTGCCTGCCCCTGAATTAATGTCTTAATATCAAATATTTAGTCAGTGTTCAAATTAGAAATGCCTAATTTGTGTGTGTGTGTGTGTGTGTGTGTGTGTGTGTTTTGCTTTTTAGTCAGGATTCTAATCTGTGTAGGAATCCTCTTAACTTTCCGCAAAGGCCAGACAGTAAAGCGTCTGGCTTGGTCTGCCAGGTCTGTCACAGCTACTGCGCTCTGCCCTTGCAGCGCAAAAGCAGCCATGGGCAGGATGTGAGTGCTGCGTGTGCTGAAGTTTCTATACGAAGTCAGGCAGCAGGTCACAGTTTGCTCACCTCTAATATGTATAGGGCCCCCTTTGTTCATGTGTCCCCATAATACAGACTTTGAAGAATGATGTGCCTTCTTAACATTGAATTATTTCCAAAGTTACTAACCGGGAGTAGCAACAGGACTTCCTCTTGGCCAGCAGCGTTTTAGCTGGGAAAGATAAAAACCTTACCATCTCAGCCTCCGCTGGGATGAAACAGTAAGACCTTAGTAGGAATTCAGTCACACCATGGCCCTGTACCCTTCGGATGTCCTTGCTCCTAAACGAAAGAAATGGAGGGTGCCTCTGCAAACACATTCAGAACTTTGAGAGGAGGCTTTCGCTTGCTGATAAGAGTATACTCTTTTCTAATCCAGGTCCTTTTAGTGGCACATCCCATGTAAAAAATCGGCCGTCAACCTTGAGTACTCTAACATCGACTTTCCATAGCCTTTGACATGATACCTGGTCAGAGTCTTCCCTAATAGTTACATTCGTAAATGGTGTCAGTACATTAAGCTTGTCAGTCATCTGGTCATAACTTGAACGTGCTAAGCTTACAGGCTGAAGTATCTGACCTGTGAAGCACTTTCCATCAAGACCCAGAAGAAATAAGTTCCTCACACTAAAGGCTACAGACTGAATCAGAAATCTTTGTTTTGTCTCCGACACTGAAACCATCTCTACTCTAAGCCCCACATGGGAGATCCTCGGGGTGCTGGTGTAGCCGTCTGTTGTAGTGGAGTTCCCAGTGTACACTTCAGGCGGAGTGAGTGCTGAGCACAGTTCAGTACCGTCAGAGACCATTTCTCTATACGATACAATTTCAGATTGGTCTAGAATATTGTTCCAAGAGTTTCCCCTTAGTATAAGGTTCAAGTTAAACGTCACAAGGCAATTAGATTCCGAGGGACTTAGAGAAACTTTTGTTGTTCTTCCTGTGTCCTGAGTTGCTGTTTCAATTCAGTGTCCCATATGTGAAGACATGTGAGGGAACGCTGAGGAAAGCAATCTGACCAGGAGAGCAGGTGACTATGTGGGAGGCACATCCACTGCTCACCTGTAGGGGATTCTAGCTTCTATATTTGAAGATACCCTGGAAAATGCCACTAAGTGAAAGTTGCCAAATCCACACTCCGCTCTGCACCATTTGCCTTTTTTTCCCCTCAAGTTTATTTCTCTTCATGAAAGAAAGGGGAAAGACGAACACCCTTAACAGGGTCTCCATGTCCCCCGTACTCCCCTTCAGCCTCTCTCAGCCAGGATCACAAGTACACGTCCCTGGTGTGTAAGGTCAACCAGGAATCGAACCCCAGTGTCCCGGATGGCTTACAGCGCTAGAGTATTGTGCTCCTGCTGCACATCAAGGGGGACCACTATTTGCCATTATTTATTTTTTATTGTCATTATTTTTGACAGGTTTTTGCTATACAGTGTGTGCACTCCTTGGAGAGACAGACAGAAAGTAAGAAATCAAGGGGGATGGGCACACTGCAATCCCTTCTCCATTCTCCTCTCTGGATTTTGGGGATGCACGCACACACACCTGGTGTGAGTTTAAGCTGCCGAGTCCAGGACTCAAACCACGCTTGACAGTGTGGGAGTCTAGTGATGTAACCATTATGCCATCTGCTGATCTCCGCATTTGGCTTTATTAAGGACTAATTTCTTTCATGCAGTACTCCTCTTACTAGACCCCATAAGCATTGGTGCTGGGCTCTCGGTGCCATTTGCTCCGTCGTACTCAGCTCCAGTGGTCACAATGGTGTAA